GTTAAAAAACGCTACACTTAATACACGCTTTAGGCTATATATTTTCAAGCTATTAAAGTTAGATGGTAAATACATTGAAATAAAAATCATCATGCGGGAAAGGGACTATGACTAGTAAATATGGACTAGGACCACTACGAATTGTCTCTCCCGAAAGCTAAACGAGTACCAGCCACCGGAACAGGCTGGGTTTCGAAAGGGTTACAATACCGTAGACCACATTCACACCCTCAAGCAAATTATACAAAAGTCTACTGAGTATAATTTGCAATCTTTGCGTGGCTTTCGTAGACTACGAGATAACTTTCGTCCCTATCGAGACCTGGTCAGTTTTGGAAATTCAAATAATCATATTTAATTATTCACATTGCACATTGCAGGTCTCTACTTAAAAAAGTCTGTGACTTTCTTTTGTTTTAAAAAATCACAGTTTCTAAATCGATTTGATTTTCAATGACAAATAGAGGAGAATACATTATCTTTAATGCTGTTATATTGCTCTATAAATGATCGTGCAAGCAATAAATACTGAAACATTTTGTTTTGCACACTCATTCAAAATGACTCATTAACAAACATTTTTATGTTATAGAGGTTGTGGAAACATTTCTTTAAGTTACTGAGGGCCAATACAGAGATTACTTATATAAGTTAGAGAGGTTGCGTATTTTAAGTTGTATATTTGGGCTCTGAAGGGAAGGGAACATATTATTTTTTGAAGTTATAGAGATTTTAGTTAACGAGGTTCTACTGTATATTTACATATATAAATTCAAGCATTTTTAGTAATAAAATAGTATACCTTCTAGTATTACCTATAACATCCGGAACAAAGTATTCAGGGTATGGTGCAAGGAGTCGTTTGAACTTCTTTGTACATTCCGCCTCCCGGACATAATCAACTTCCCAAGACAATTCCTTCTTAGCAACTTCAACTACATTATCAATAAACATGCCCTTCGGGAAGACATTCCACACCTTTAATACTCCAACTAAATTATCAATATCACTATTGATGCCCTTAGCTACACCAGGATACTGAACCTTCATTGCCACTTCTTGACCATTGTGGAGTACAGCTAAATGAACTTGCCCTTAAAAAACAATATATGATTTTCCAAAATTTAAACAGGTTAAAAGAATATATACATTTAAATAGATTATCACATTAAGAACGAATCTCAATTGCCTTATTTTAGTTTTTGTTTTATCATGTATAAACCAGCGATGACCACTATCCCAACTAAAACAAAGTGAAGATGTGGTCGAAGGAACGTGCTAGTTACTTTACAATCAGGTATTTATTGAGATAGTAATATTAAACATTATGTTAAAATTACCAATAGACGCTGCTGCGAAAGGCTTGTCTTCAAAATGTTGCAGACGAGCACGCCAATCACCACCTAATTGGGAACTCATTACTTTCTCAACTTGCCAACTGGGCATGAAATCCGCAGACTGGCGTACACGCTCAAAGATTTTTTGGAATTCAGGAGATATTATTGTATCATCTTGAATACTTAACAATTGTCCTAACTTTAAAGCTGCACCTATGAGAAAAGACATTATTAATATAGTTTCATATTAATTTAACAGTCCTCAGTAAGATATTTACATGCAATTATTACTAACCTCTAACTTTACACAATGTATCAACAATTCTCTCAGCATTAGCTGGTGACAAGAAAGCATTACTAGAGTCATCTACCTTCCCAGTAACAGATTGAAATGTATTCCGAGCATACTGTGCCACGGTCCCAACTCCCAGCCCGGCTGCCAGCGAACCAAATGAAAACATTCTTCCGATACGTGATGATGGTACTACACGTTCCTTGGAACTTGAACTTAACTGTAACATTAATTGCAATAATTATGAACCATGCACTTAGACCAAGTGTCAAGTCTAATGAATTTGTTCATCTACACTTCAATTGATTTGTGAAATTTTAACAAACATGTCAATCTAATTTTACCTTTATAATGACACTCATTAAAATTTAAATTGTATCATAAATTTAGATACCGAAACAAAATCAAATAAAAGCAAACTATAAATGACATAGTTATGACCACATACTGAAACTACTTGGCTTTATATCACCGCTTATAGTCTGACCGACATCAAAATTATAATGGAATTAGGAATGAAAAGACAACCTAATCATTTAAGACACTTTTACATATTCAACATTCAGCCATTAGTCTGTTGAATGTGTAAAATTTCTCATTTAAATTGAATTTGCATATATTTAAAAAATTAACAGGTTATTACTTAAATGTGTTAAATGTTTAAAGAAGGTTAGTCTTTTTTGATAGTATTCAAAGCAGAAATTGACTCACAGTGAGTTTAAGCTTCTTTTTTGCAACTGGCTTTGGAACTACATCTCTACTTGTACATTCCTCCAAAGTAAGGCTTCTTAGTTGCTCTTGATTATGCTTTGTTTTAATATCTTGTAAAGATGTTTTGACAACACCTTCCATTTGAATTGCCTCTAAAGGTGCTTCAAATTCCAGAACTTTCCTGTCAGTAGATTCTTTCATACCTTTTGCCTTATTCAATATTTCAAATGTTTTATCAAATTCTTTATTTAACTGCTCTATCTCATCTTTTAACTTTTCATCTATTAAACCTTTACTTTCTACACTAGTACTGACAAGAGGGACATGCATAGTAGCATACTTTCTAAAACCATGTGCCACAACAAACACATGCTCAATTAAATCTTTTGGAGCCATTTCATTTGCTTTGTAATTTTTTATTGTATTAGTAGGACAGTTCTGTAAAAACGGTCTTATACTAGAATTATTCCATACTAATCTAGAATTTTCTTGCTGTAATTTAATACCAGATTCGACTACTTGCCGAAGTCCCTTGATAACTCCCAATAAATCAGTAAGGTGAGACATAGTCTGAAATAAATAAACAATTGAATATTATTATACTTGTTTATTGCACAACCTTAACACATGTGGGACATTTCCTGCTCTCTTATATGTTGTTATTGAGTGGCTCAGGGGTTTGAGCACTTGACTTATAATCCGCAAGTCTTAGCTTTGAATTCTGCCATGTACTAATTTTATTTACAATTTTCTAAATTTCATATGTGCATAATTTACCCAATGTTCTTTTGGTGAAGGAAAACATTGTGATGCAACCTGCGTATATTTGCAAAGAAATTCAAAGATAGGTGTGAAGTCAACCGACCCACCCTAATTTCAGGTAGGCTCCGAGCCCATCAGTGGGGACATATATTAAGCTGGTGATGATGTTATTGAATTTTTGTAGTATTAAATATGTAATTTATAAGGGCAATGAAAAATATTTACTAAAAGTATTGCTGTTGGATGGTTACATAACAGTTTCTATATATAAAAACTCCAACAATTGCATAACAAAATCAGGTTTTTATTTCATACCTCTGTAATACATAAAACTAAACATAACATTTTGTGAGACTATCTATTTATATGGTCTTAATTTTTAACTTAACATCTTTTTACATGGAATTAATTGATTTATCATAAATAAAAAGCAAAAATTATAATTTGTAGGTTAAGTCCTGTGTGTATGATATTTATAAGATAATAAAAATACACACGCGAAATAAATGATTTACTCTAATTTAACTGTAGTTAGTATGTTTTTTATTTTACTCACCTGTTATATTTTAATGCAAAAATTTCATAGTTTGTCTAAATAAGTATGATTAGTTAGACGATTCTTTTGACAACTTAGTAGGAATGTTATGTGAAATCAGGTATGAAACTTACAGATTTTCGATTTTTACTCTCAAAGAAGTTGGAATCGATATATTCGTAATTATACCTAACTGTTCCCGTGCGGCTTTATCCGCATGAAATTATGAATTTATTGTTTACATCTGTCCATGCATCTGTCAAATTGTCAACAGCAAATGTCAAAATGACATGACAAACCTTGCCAATCTTACTTTCTTGATGTTGGCAGCAACTTATGTTCTCTAACCCACATTAGGGTTTTTATCCCAAATATTTACCCCCCTAAGTTTTCTGGCGTGAAAATATATAGCCTATACAAATTGTCCAGTAAGAGTTAAGACAAGACTACACGATGCACGCAAACATAGAATCACTAACACAGCGCACAGTCGTTGTCTATGGTTTAATTTTTTTATTTATATTCATTTATGAAATAATTTAAAGTAAAAAAGACAATTTTCGTAATTATAACTTACTAAACATCTGAAAACAGAAAACATTCACAAATTAAATGTTATTAACCCAATGCCCTTGTAATTAATTAAAACTACAAAGAGTCTTTTTTTGTTTGTTATATTACACAAACAGCAAAAACATGCAGTATTTGAATATAAGTGCTGGTCACTTACTTTATTTTAAATAGTAAACATTTACAGATCTCCTTACCCAATTTCTTTTTTAATTTCGATACTTCATACTATCATACTGCGAAATTAAATGCGAAAGTTTAGATGGATGGATGAATGTTTGTTAGAGTTTGTAGCCTAAAAGGCTGAACGGATTTCGATTAAATTTGGTATAGATTTAGAAGACAGTCTGGAAGAACACATAGGCTACTTTTTTTTCAATTCCACGCGGACGAAGTCGCGAACGAAAGCTAGTTATTTATAAACATGTTTATGTTGTAATTAAAATATGTATGACGTGTATGTTTATCGATGATCTTTTAATAAATAGAAATTGTGATTACCATGACGCGAAATCATATGATGCATAAACATGTATGCATTTATAAAACTTTTAGATATGCTTTCGGTTTCAAAAATATACATGCACTTATTCATTAATAGTACGTACATTCAAGTTTGGAAGTAAACAGACGGTTAAGTGCATGTATATTTTTGAAAACAATGGTGTATACAAGCTTCTGAAATTTTAACACATTTGAACACTAAGTAATGAATATAATAGGGTATATCGGTAGGGGGTTTAGAGTGTTAGTAATATATCAAATTATTAATTACAATATTTTATTTTTGCAGAGCAGTCATCACCGAACATGGCGTCTATCCATCGACTTACTCAATAAACACAATGAACACAAAATGCAAAGAAAAAGATGTCGAAGTTAGCGCTTACGATCCCTTTCAGAATAGAAAGTTGGAACATCCTAATTCGTAAGTAGCGAATTTATTATTTTAACACAATACTCGAATTTAACAATTTTAAATTAGAGATGGCTTAACACGAGTGAAGCATCACTCTTAGAATATTGTAGTGATATTTGATTCCAATCTTTTTTCTAACGCAAAAAAGACATCCACAGAAACAGGATGTAGTTGAGTTATTCATTATTCCTTTTGTATTTACAGAGATGTGAGATCGTTCGCCAATCTACTGAAATCGTCTTTAGGCTCCGGTATATTAGCAATGCCGGCCGCCTTCAAGAACGCCGGTACTCTGGTGGGCGTTTTCGGCACTATAATACTGGGATATATTTGTACACACTGCGTATATTTGTTGGTAATTATTTCAAAACTTTTATTACGTTACGTTATTTTACGTTACTTTTGTATAAGTTTTTACGGTAATACGTTACCATCCGTCTATTACTTTGGCAATAGTAAGGAGGACCAAAGTGATTCCTAAATTTAAATGTTGAATAACCACGTGTTAGTTTGCTTTACTTAATTGCGTTTAGTTAAATAAGTAGTTTAATGGGCAACCTTGAACTTTTCGAAGTATATTTCTGGCTTCTTTGAAAGTGGGTATTTAGCAAAATAAAGGCTATTAACGCCCAGAATTGGGACGTCTATATATACAGAAAACAGTGGCAACATTCGAGCGTCGCAACTGGATCTCATCCAAAAAACACAAAATGTTTGTAATTAATATTATTAATAACAGAATATCAAGTGCACTGTTAATGAGATAATTATTTTTTATTAAATGCAGTTATAACTCACAGCATTTTTTTGCAGGTTAAGACTTCACAGGATGTTGCAAGAGTCTCTAAAGTTCCATCACTTGGCTACGCAGAAACAGTTGAAGCTGTGTTTGCTACAGGACCTAGATCTCTGAGAAAATTATCTAAAACAGCAAGGTAAATAGTCATTTCTAACATTCATTGTGTAGATAGCAGAACCTAAATAATGCGGCTATAAACTACTGTGACAAAATATACCTATTATTTCTGTATTTATATAATACTTAAGAGATTTTGAGAGAAACTATTTGTTAGCGCTTTACTTTTGAAAATTACATGTGTTAGATAAATATAATAAAATGCCTACAATACGCATAATGTCAATAATGTAGGTACTTTGTCGCCACATAATAAAATTGATACAAAGATTACAAACGCAAAGTCGATAAGGAAATATTTGGTGATTGATTTAAATTGATTCAACGTCTTCCTGTTTATTCATCAATTATAGACTTTATTGACACGTCTAAAAACATGTTATGAGATCTTTACGATAAATAGTTCTAACGTATCTATCAAGATAACACCTGAAACTAAACTATCGCACAACTGTTTAGTCCCACCTTGATTCGTATAAACTTATATGGACATGCCCACAATCCTCGATTTTAAGTTGTGGACCTACAGTTGAATTGGCTGCGAAACAATCGACAATCGCACAACAGTTATGCAATAGTTTAATCAAAGTTGTACGCCCGCTCTTTAAAGTGAATATAAGGTCGTTTTGTTACGTACATCATTTTCACTGAACATTTCCTTTCGTATACGAAAATAACAATTTAAAATATACGCCAAAACAATTGCATGGCTCAGTTTTACCAAGGTGTAACTTTGTATATTAATAACGACAAATTGATCATGTTAAAAGCAATTGTATGAACAAATGTTGTACACGTGTTTCAGGATATTTATAGACTGGGCAATGGCGTTCACCATTCTTGGCGCCTGTGCTGTCTATGTCATATTGCTGGTGGAATCAGTAAAACAGGTATTTTGGACGCATGACAACTTTGTATTGTTTCAGTACAATCCTAAACTAGATATCCTTTAAGTCATTTAGGCTACAAGCTCTAACAAAAATCCATCCATCTAAACTTTCGCATTTATAATATCAGTATGATAAGTAAGATGTAGGCATTATTGTACTCAGTAACTAAAACCATAATGTAACCTGAAACACTTGAATAAATGGTTTCTATTTGCCATGACAAAATATACGTATTAAATTGTGGAAAATGACAAACATAATACCTTCTCATCTGATCGGATCAATTGTTCTTACAATTTTCTTGTAAAAAAATGATGTAAAGTAGAATAAAAATTTTCTAAGACCATGTTGAAGGTGTGAAATGAACTAACGATGTTGAGCGAGGCGACGCCACAACCCAATAACGCAGTTGGGTATGCCAAGCCGACGGGAGCTTGATACGGAGACTGCGAGGACGTCCAGACCCCCACTCAGTGACAGTCTCTAAGTAATTCCGTTGTTGATTTTTAAATTTATTGTTCCAGATTGTCTCATATTACTACGAAGATAATGGCTACACGGACACTATGTACTGCCTGATGTTCCTAGTTCCGATATTAATATTTACACAGATTAAAAATTTAAAATATCTAGCACCATTCTCTGGATTCGCCAATATTTTGCTAGTCGCCACTTTCCTTATTTGCTTGTACTACATATGTTCAGACTTTCCGAGTATCGATTCTCGGCCTATGTCCGTGGACATTGGAAGATTACCATTATTTATAGGGTAAGTTTATTTACCAGGTACTCATTCCTGTCTCTCATTACCTAATAACTTAGGAAATGAAAATTAATATTACGTCATACCGCTTCCTTCATCCCTTACTTTACTTATTTTGAGTATATAATTTACATAATGTTTCTGCCAGAAACTTATTTACAACCAATCAGTTTGTTACGTAAAACTTAATTTTCGATAATTATCCAAATACAAATATCTCAGTAACTGTTTATAGTTTCGTTCATTGATTCATTGTTAGTCCAATTTTCACATACCAATAGATCCACAGACTAGATTTAATCATTTATTATTTTTCAGTACAGTTATATTTGCAATGGAAGGTATCGGAGTGGTGCTACCAGTTGAGAATACAATGGCCAAACCCCAACACTTCCTCGGCTGTCCTGGTGTACTGAATATTACAATGTCTATTGTCGTACTGCTGTACATGATCATGGGTTTTCTGGGCTACATTTGCTATGGCGATGAGGCAGCTGGAAGCATTACTCTTAATCTGCCCACAAAAGAAATGTAAGTGTTAAATTAAACTCTATATGTCTCTACGATAAATGCTATGGTTTTTAAGATAGTTTAAAATTGTATAGTCTTATTTGATGGATTTGAGTTTTCTAAAAGAATGGAAGAAGTTTCTTTGATTGCCACCTAGCGGCAAAACTACGCAACTTGCGTCTATAGTTTCCATCAAAAATCCGTAGCCTTCAATTTTACATGTTTGAAATTTTCCGACGATGTATTTTTTACCACTGTTTGAATATAAATACTATGTTATTTTTATTCTTAACAAAAGCACGAAGAAACGAGGCGTCCTAATTTAAAACTATTTTCAGTCCGGCCCTGATGGCGAAGTGCTTCATCATCGTAGCAATTTTCTTCACTTACACGCTGCAGTTCTATGTGCCCATGGAGATAGTGTGGCGCAACACTAACCAGCACGTCTCGCAGAAATACCACAACATTGCCCAGTCCATCATGCGAGCTGTGTTCGCTATTCTTACTGGTAAGATAGATTATAGTTCTACTTACCTGACAGTTTATTAATCCGTTTACAAAGTTGACAATCGATAGGTGACATCTACAAGTTCAGCAAAGTTTAGCAAATTGGTCTATTAGAGACGGAAAGTTAATCTATGTATTTCACCTTCTATTGAAATAGATTAATTTTTCTATGCTTTAAATATAACTTAGTAGCTGTTCCCGTGCGACTTCATCCGCATAAAATTTTATTTTGTTGTTTACATTAATTGTAAATTTCAAAATGACATGTCATGATAAACCTTAGCAATCTTTCTTTCTTTATGTTGGCAGCAACTTATGGTCTCTTTCCCACATTACGGTTTTTATCCAAAATATTTACCCCCTAAGTTTAATGGCGTGAAATATATAGCCTAAAGCGTGATGTAAGTGTAGGGCTTTATAGTAAAAAAGAATTCTTCAAAAATGTGCTGTAATTGCTGACATTTTAGGCAACAAATAAGTGTATGTTTACGATTTATTATAATATAATAGTATAGAGTGATTTTTAACATTGATAACTAAAGATTTTTTTTAAAACAAACATTGTGATGTAATTTTTAATCGCCAATTTTATTCATTTGGCCATGGTTAAAATTTGAAAAGTCATGTTTCGTGTTCTATATAAATAATGTTTACTCATCATTACAATTAAATTTATGAGCGGGAAAAAATAAAACAGAAAAAGACTGAAAACGACCTAGTCACGAAATTAATAAAAAAATTAAAATACATTAAATATTGTAAAGATGTCCTACGATTATTATCAAATGAAATGAACTGACTTTTTTTAAATACATTTACATAGTTTATTATTGGTATAAGGAAAGATTGAATATTATCTAGAATAGTCAAATACTCAAGAATCGCTGAATTAAATGCACACAAAATCGATTTGCCTTTATGGAGATAGTATGGAAGAAACGCTCTCGTTTGTCTCTGTCTCTACATGAACTAGTACTACGCCAAATGAAAGTCGAGGTCTCTGTGCACTCCTCTTGGTTTGGGCGTGAGTTGTGTGGTTTTTGTAGTAGTTTTATATATACTACAAAAAAATGTGTCGTTATATATTATAATAAGTTAAAAGGTTTCAAATGTGTTTTCTATCATTTTAAAAACAAATAATTCTTTTTCAGTAATTGCGGCCGCTACGTTGCCCCGTCTGGAACAGGTCATCGGCCTAGAGGGGGCGTTCTTCTATTCATTCCTAGGCCTCATAGCACCATCATTGATTGATCTCATATTCTGCTGGGAGAGAGGTCTAGGAAAATACAATTATATCTTAATTAAAGACATATTTCTCATCGTATTCGGAACTTTTGTACTGGTAACAGGCGTTATGCAAAGTATTAGAGAAATTATACGTATTAGTGAATAAATGTAATTTAAAATTAATAAAACAAATTTAATTTTAATTGAAAAATGTAACATTTGTGCCAACAGAACAAAACTATTGTAACATATTGTTACTTGGAATTCACGCCCACCGTGTTTTTTTTTTCAACCTTTTTCCAAATTACGGCCACAATGTTAATTACTGTGTAATTAAATTTCTTGTCATTTTCATAACATCAATTTAAAACTAGACCGTAGTTGTTTTGTACTTAATATTCAACGTTCATGTTTTTTATTGCAGATACATGTTACAGATTAAATAATTATAATGTAATACTTAATTTGTAAGATTAATTTTGATACTTATGAATTAATTCATAATAAAAAATAAAAGAATTGTACAAATCGTAATAAAAAGATTATTTTATTATGTTGTTTTATTGATATCAAAATAATCCGGTAAAAATATGTTACTTATGAGATACAACAAATATGAATAAATGAGACGTCTGATTGGTAAAATAATTTCAATAATGTTTTTAACATATCTGTTGCATCATAATAATTACTTTATCTGAGTTCAACAAAGTAACGAAATAATTTAAGAAAACATATTTAAATCTCCAAAATCCAATTAGCGAAACTATTGTATAACAGGAGAAAGTAACTGTCCCGAATTGCCGACAATAATTAATGTTGAATCATATTAACTTTAAAATATGATCAACATTTTTGAAAGATGAATGTTACATCTTATTACAAAGGTAAAAAACTTTCAGTTCGGCGGAATTGATATTCTTGTTACGAGGGTCTTCGGTTCAATTCTCACAAAAAAAAGTTAACCAAAAAACACTATATAACATAGAATTATAACATATCTGTAAATCATTGTCTACTCCTATGAAAGCCGTAAGACACACACGTTAAAATATTTCTTTGGATGATATATAAGTTCTTGGATAGTAACGAAGAAACTTAGATAAGATTTTGGCAATCAACGCTCGTTTGTCATTTTTTTTAAACACACTATAGATTACTTGTTAATAAAACCACTTGCAGATATTAATACATTCCTTAAAAAATAACACAACATAGATGCATATCTATGCATCTGCATACGTAGAAGTTGTTCTGAAAAATGATGACAAGAGAACTAAAATTAAATTCCGCGCGAGCCAGCATACATTCCCCCTGTGCAGCACGGCGTTTCGCATAATTATTTTACAGATGAGTGGCCAACTGTGTAGATTATCGTTTAGTTTTACATAACGTCTTTTATTAAAAAAAAAAGTGATACATAATTATTAAGATGTTTAATAACACAAGTGTTAAAAATGTAAGTATAAATGTTAGGTTATGTACTTGAAACAATTTGATCCAATGATTAATACAATCAATATTTGAATTTTTATCATTTACTGATAATGATAAAAAGGTAAGTAAGTATATCTATAAAATGTATAATAGATTAGTTAAACATTTAGTTTAACAGGATGAGTGTGGTAAGTCCTTATTTACATACAATCAGTTCTGTTTCGATAATTTACTCGTCTGTGTTTATATGAAAACTTGTATTGTAATTAATGATTGGTGTTTCTTTTTCTTTTAATAATGGTGGTAGACACAAAAATCCCTACAATCAACATTGTCACTTACGTTTCATGATAAGCGAGTTCAAGGCAAAGAATTACATTTAATTTGTTAATGATCGTTTCATATTGTGAATGACAACGATTTCTGCCTCATTTTCGCATAAGCATCGCAAGTGCTCAGTTGTGTACAAGTGTTTGTGACATGGGTAATTTAAAAGTAGCCTTGATTGACTTTTTGGAAAATGCACAAGTATGTATCAGAAGTAAAAAAAGTTGAATAATTAATAGACTGATTCTATAAATCAACTGTAAATTATCTTAAGTGTGCTGATGAAAGTTATAGTACCAAGTGTTACTTGTAAATGTCATTTTACATATTTAACATCTTTTATTCTTTGAAAAACTTGACCTGAATAATATTTGTAAATAACATTTTCTTGTACTATAACCTTATTTAATTTCTAATACAAATTAAATTCTGTTACTTACAGGTATTTCCAATAGTATTATCGGTTGGAGCAGTGGTGGTGGTTGCAACAGTAATTGCCCACTGTGTTTGGGGCAAGAAATCTGCACCAACAAAGAAGAAAAGTGTTAAAAAGTTGGTAGCACTGGTTGATCCTGACACAAAGTATCCTTTGCCATTGATTGAAAGAGAAGACATCAGTCATGATACAAGAAGATTCAGATTTGGTTTGCCTTCACCTGAACATGTTTTAGGTAAGAATCATTGACACTCTATGCAGTAATTTTACTTTAAAATAATCATTTTGTGCCTAAGTAAAACATAGAATTCTATTAAATTATATATTATTTTATCTAAGTAATATTTTAAATGCAAAACTTTAGATATATGGATGTTTGTTAGAGTTTGTAGCCTAAACGGAAACAAACACTTGACACTCTCCCAATCTGCTGAGGGAGAGCCATAAATAAAAAATAGAATAGAATAGTCTAAATGGCTGAACGGATCTGGATGAAATTTGGCATAGATGTAGAGCAGCGTATGGAAGAACACATAGGCTACTTATGTTTTGTTTAATACCATGCGGACGGAGTCGCGAGCGATAGCTAGTATTATATATCATTTTGTATTACACAATCTAAAATAATTTCTTAGAATATGTTAGGCATTTGACTATTTTGTTATCAATACACAAGTTGAATATTAATTCAATGTGTAACTGCTACAGATGTAATAAAAACCTAAGTTCATTTAGAAAAATTGTACAATTTTTTTCCCAGTTTTTTTTTTCCTTAAAGGCAATGACTAGATTTTAACAATTACATAATCTATGACTCAAGGACTACAAGTTAAAAGAATGATTCAGTAGTTTCTGTTCCATCATGTTTTGGAATAGTCAAATCATCTGTGACTTAGCAATAATTGTTGCATTAAATAAAATATTGTAACCGTGAGTGGTCACTTTAATAAGTAAGAAACTATAATGCTGATAGGAAATAACCAATTTCATATAAGGCTTTTACACATATTTTTTATTGAATAACAAACAATGCCACAATCAATTCTCTTTATTCCAACAAACTGCAATTCATTTGTTTTTTTTTAACTATCTGTAGTTGTGAACAATAGTTAAAACTGCTTGTGAATTTATGCATTTATTCAAACTTTGTACACAAAAGAAAACAAATAATAGTAAATACAAATTAAGAGGTTGTAGTACAGATGAGCTAAACTCTATAAGAGTTATCTTACAGTTAACCATTCAAAACAGAGAGGATATTTAGTGGGTAATAAGAGTGAGTGGGTTATGAGAGAGAATCTATCTAAAAAGGTATTTTTTTTATTATTTCAGGGTTACCTATTGGCCAGCATATTCACTTATCTGTCAAAGTTGATGGTGATCTGGTCATCAGAGCATACACTCCTGTATCCAGTGACGATGACAAGGGATATGTGGATCTGGTTGTTAAGGTTTGTAAATAATTTTCAACTATCAAAGTACTTGTAGATTGCTGTCTCTTTCATCCTCTTTAAAATAAACAGAGATAAATACAGTTGTCTAAAATGTGAAAATTTATGATAGTGGATACTTAGTAACCAGTTTTAACATTGGTTTGAAAAAAACATGTAATAACTTATTACTATTTAAGATAAATTAGAAACGCTATTTGTAAGTTAACAATCTCTAAAGTATAGAATCCAGATATTTTCAAATAACATAAATTAATATGTATAGAAATGTAATTAATTTTTTGAATATTTTTATCTTTCCATTTATATAGTTTATCTATTTATCTATACTTCATAAGTCAAAGTCTATACTACATTTTTAATCATGTTCAAAGGTTAAAAAAATCCAAAGAAAAACACCAGTAAATTATAACAATAACCTATTTTGATATCTAGAAAATGATAAACTGAATATTAAGTGGCTTTTATTATATTTCAGGTGTATTTCAAAAATGTACATCCCAAATTCCCAAATGGTGGTAAAATGTCTCAATATTTGGAAAGTATGAAGATTGGTGACACAATTGATTTCCGAGGACCATCGGGAAGACTGCAGTATGCTGGCAATGGAATCTTCTTGATAAGAAAGCTGAAGAAAGATCCACCAAATAGAGTGCCTGCTAAGAAATTGAACATGATTGCTGGTAAGGATCTTTGTTTAACAGATTTTAACAGGAGGTTCTTAATACTTACTAAATTAAGTTGTTTTATGTATTATATGTATTATATGTACAAGATTTATTGTCCATTTTATGGAATAATAGCTGTCTTTTGATCCCAATAACAATCTGACAAAGAAGAGATGCACATAAAAAGGACATTTTCCCTTCCTATGTGTCCATTACCCTTTTAATATAATGCATATGTATTTGATTGAAAGAAATAACTAGAAGAGATATTATTAAATATAAATGTATGCATTTCTCATTATTAATATGCATTATTCCATGTAGTTATGTTAAACATCATAACTGATAATATAAATATATCACATAAAATTAATACGGTACATAATTTTATTATTACGGTGTTTTATATGTTCGTCTTATCGTGTTTGATAACTCCAGGTCATGGGTTTGATAAATACATAGCTATTTTCAAAGAAATAGTCTAAGTCAGGGGTGACAAACTTTTACTTATAATTTTTATACAGAAATACATTGAGGTCACAGACATTTCACCAAATAACACTTAGATTTATTCCTCACATACAGTAGAACCTCGATAACTCAAACCTCGGTAACTTAAAAACCTCTATAACTTCAAAAAATAATATGTTCCCTTCCCCTCAGAGCCCAAAACCTCTACAACATAGACCCTTGATAACTTAAAACCTCTATAACTTAAAGTATTTTGTGTTTTCCTTGGACTTTAACTTATCGAGGTTTTACTGTACTACCTCTAGGACACATATCTTCATAGTACTTTTGATCTATAAGTATCCCAAAATAATGTATCATGTGCCAATGGTTTTCTATCCCTGGACTATTATTTGATTTATTTCAGATAACAAAGATTATTTTATTATAATTACAGATAAGAAAGTTAGTGTACAATACTAAGCTCAAAGAACAAAATATAATATGAATATTATTTAAAAAAAATAATTGCTCATTTCAAAGTTATTACACCAGAAATGTTGAGTTTTATTGATTTTTTCACTTATTTCAGGTGGTACTGGAGTAACTCCAATGCTGCAGCTCGTAAGACACATCTGCACTGATCCATCAGATTCCACCGAGATAAGGTTGCTGTTTGCCAACCAGACTGAAGATGACATTCTACTTAGAGATGAACTCGAGAAATACCAGAGAGAGTACCCCAATCAGTTCAAAGTCTGGTATACCTTGGATAGACCTAAAGAAGGTATGATTTTTTTTATAGGTATAAGAAAAGGGGGCAAATGAGCGAGGGGTAATCATACTTCATACTAATATTATAAATGCGAAAGTTTAGATGGATGGATGTTTGTTAGAGTTTGTAGCCTAAACGGCTTAACGGATTTCTCTGAAATTTGGTATAGATGCAGAAGATACTCTGGAAACGCACAGGCTACTTTTTTTTTTCTTTAATTCCGGACGCGGACGGAGTCGCGGGCGAAAGCTAGTAATGTTATAAGTAAGATTAACATGTATATTCCAGGCTGGAAATACAGCACTGGCTTCATCAACGACGAAATGATCCGCGAGCATATGTTCCCCGCGACTGATGACGTCATAGTGCTGATGTGCGGCCCGCCGCCCATGATCAACTTCGCGTGTAACCCCGCACTGGAAAAACTAGGCTTTAAAGAATCACAACGATTTGCATACTAAATACTAAGGATATTGGTATGGATTTGATGATAAAATTAAATTTTGAGGAACAAATTTAGTTGTACAGTTTAAGAAAAATGGTCAAACCATATTTATCGGTAGATATTGTTGATTTTATATGTGCTATTTGTGTAAAATTTTATTCCGATGGCATAATTGAGTAAATAGTAAAAAAAATAGTGAAAAACGCTATCCACGCGGTGTATATTTTATTTTTCTTGTTCACCCTCTGTTGAGTAGTTTATTATCCTAGTAAGTTTAGCCAATTTTATGTAAAACTTTTTATAAAGTTATTAATAGAATTAAAAATAAATGTTGTTAAAATATATATCTTTTTATTTCAACATTTAGGTATAATTATTGTAGATTATAAATGACTCAAGTGACATTTAAAGATCAAATTAACGTTAATAGCAATATATAATTTGAAATAGTCTTATTAATGTATGTTTTTGTAATATCCTAATGGAATTACGATAATTACTGTACCGTCAATGTTTGACAAATTAACGAACATATTTTCGACTTAGTTACATTCATTAGTCATTGAGAATTTGGTTTTAACGTGACAATATTTCCTTATATAAAATAATTTTACCTTTAAACCCGCTACTCAAAATTGTTTATACTTAAAAATATGATAATGAATTCGGAGTATCTCTCTGAAGATATCTTAGATGAGTATTTTGTTAAAACATATCGCTGTTACCGTCGAGTACAGATTTTATTAGGATCCTGTAGAGTGGACGTTCGAGACAGTTTCGTCACCGCGCCAACTAAATACCATAAATTTTATTCTATAATTTTAGTTGTCGTCTCTACATATTTGTATATCTGTACGAACAAACTCATATATGATAATAAAATCCCTAACCATTCATATTCATACTATATGTATTTTTGTGTAATGCTATTAAGTTACGTTTCATATATTTGCAATATAATACATGTTCGTTTCGTTAATTCCGATGACAATTCGAAATTTTTAATTCAATTGCAAAAAGTAGATCGATTAATGAACGTAGATGGCAACAGAAGTATGTATTCTTTCATATATCATACAAATATTGTTACACTATCGATACTTTTGACGTCATATTTATTGCTTTATGGCGTATCTTGGTACAAAAATATAAGAGATGCAATTGAACTTTTGGGTGGGTTGTGTAATGAAGTTACTTTCGCTATAGAAATTAGTCATTGCGCGAACATTATATTATTCTTTGTTACAAGACTGCGGTTTCTAAACTCAATATTATCTAACCATTTACTACATCAAGATAATAGCACGAACCAAAGTTTTTTTCCTACGAAAAACGGAATGCGCTGTTTAGCTGCTAAAACGCATGATTTCGAATCAACAGATACTTATATTTGTCTGAGAGCAATATTAGATGCATATAATGAATTTCAAAAGCTTTACAGATTTCAGGTAACAGATCTATAAATCTATATCTATTTTTTTATACATATAATTAAATTGAAGTGTCTGTTAGTTTTGTACTTTTTTGTACTTTTTTCTGTTAGTTTTTTACTGTTTAAGAAAAATTTTAGATTTCGGGAAGATGTACTTACGTTGCTGATAAATGTATCAAAAATTTTCGTCTGTCTGTCTGTTTGTCTGCAAGCCGCGTTTGTTCCGATTAATCTCCGAAACGGCTGTGCCGATTTCGAACGGACTTTCACTGAAGGGTCGCTGGATAGACGGGCATATTATAGATTACTTTTTTATTCCGCGCTGTCAAAATGGCGTAACGGGTGGTACATATTTGCGCCAACGAAGTTTGCGGGCTACAGCTCGTACTATATATTTTTTGGTTAACAATAATATTGTTTAATTATTGCAGGTTTTGTTATATTGTATCAAATCTGTGGGAACGATTTTAACGTCTTTTAATATAATTTTTCTTTCTATGCAAGACAAGGTAAAAATATCTCGTACTTATATTGCGTTATACAGAAAATAATTCATTTAATCCTTTTTAACTCCTTAGGAATTAGATTTGTTTGTGTATGTGCAAATTCCCTTCATAACAACTTTCGACATCTTTATATGCACATTTCTGTGTGTGCGTAATCAATTTTTTTACAAAGAAATTGATACGACCAAAAGGTTGTGCACAAAAGTAATGTGCGTTCATTACACAGGTAAGTTGAAACGAATTTTATAATTTATTTGGACAATATAATTTGCTTTTCATTATAACCTAAAAATGATTTAAAACACAAGAGCAAACTGACGAAGCAATTAAAAATTGTCTTTTAATTGCAGTTATCGTGTCTTTAAATACAAAGGTTTAGTAAATTCTAATAGTAATTGTTACTACCAACCAAATATTTGAACTTTGTCGGAGTTTATTTTGAAAATGTGTATTTTTCAGGACCATTGCGAGATAAAGCTAAAAAAGTGTTGAAATTAATACAAGAGGCACCACCGAAGTTCTCTGTTTACGATATGTGGCAGATGGATGTATTTTTTATGCTGAAAGTCTTTAATATTCTCACTACTTATATTATTACGACGTTACAATTTGCTCTTCTCTAAGTGTATGCGATTTAAATATTTTTAGACATGGCATATCTATTAACTACACTGAAGACATCAAGAGTTATTTGTTCGAATCGTGTAATCTATATTAAATTGCACTTTAATAATCCTCATTTGTTTTTAATTAAATTTATACCCCTGATTTATTCCCTTGAGACATGACTTTCATAAAACTAACGATAGGACCATTAACTTCGGATTAAAAAAAATGGCTTTGTGGTTTTAAACAGTACGTTTAACCGTTATCTTTAGACAAGTGAGTTATAATGACTAAAGTCGGCATTAACAAGTTATCCATGGATATACTAGATGATGACTTCGTACAAATTTTTAAACCCATCCATAAAATGCAGTATATACTAGGAACGCTACAAGTTAAAATAAAATATGGATTTGCAACGACAACGTCATATGGATACGACGTATTCAGCATATTCGTTTGGCTTATCCATATAATGTCAATGTTTGTATTCATCGTTTACTGTGAATCTTCAACTGATTCCATATTGACTGATTTCTATTTGAAATTGGGGCATATTTTAAACGGATTAATAATAGCGATGGTGACGATTAAAAACTTTTACAATGGAAATTCAAGTAGCCAGTTGTATGTTAAATTGCAGAAAATAGACCGAGATCTTGGTATGAAAAACTCGATAAAACTAAATAAGCGGGTATCAATACTTTCGAAAGTTTTTGTGGGATTGTTTTTTATTTGTAGCGTAGTTTGGTCAATTGTATTATATTTATATGTAATGAATATGAAAGTTTCTTGTGCAGTCGTTTTCATAGTAGAACTTCCTATATTAGGCAATTATATGGACATGATATTGATTTTCTTCCAAATGTATTTTATTGTAATAAGATTCGAATGTGTTGTTACAATTTTAAAAGAAAAAATAAATAAACATGTTTCCATGTCTAAAAAAAATGAGACATTTTTTGTTACGAACGAAGTGTGTACAGATGAAAAAATGTGGAACCGTCTAACAATGACTTTACGAGATTTTATAAATGCATTGGATGATCTAATTAATGTTCATCAGTTCACCGTAAGTTCTATATGTCAAATTTCTAAATAATATGGTTTTACGTGGTTTTAAACGTTACCGATTTTTAAAATTGACCCAGTAGTTTTTAAATTATTTCAATACATACAAAAATACAAATCTTTCCTGTTATAATATTAGTATAGATGAAGAAAAGAAATGTTCTTTCAATATTAAATTAAAAATAACGCATACTGTTACAGATCTTCGGGCTGACTTGTGAGTTTATAATTTTGGACATAATTTTGATACAGAGTATAATAACCACTATTAAACAACAGGTAAAAACTTACAATATATATATTTCATTAACGTATACTAGCTTTTGCCTGCGACTCTGTTCGTGTGAAATTTAAAAATAAAAACAAAAGTAAGAAGCCTTTGTGTTCTTCTATCGAGATTCGTTCAGCAGTGTAGGCTATAAACTCTTAACAAACATCCATCAAAACTTGCGCATTACAGTAAGTATGCTACATTAGTAAGATTTTTCATGATGTAAATTTTTATGTTTTATTTTCAGATGTCCATTAACATATATTCATTAATAAATATAATTCCTGTGGTCACTCTATTGTTGTTTATATTATTGTTGAGTATTATGGTGGAAATGATAAAATCAAAAATAAGTAATTCTAGAAAACTTTGCACTAACATACTGCGTTTCAGTAACGGTAAGTCTTCAAAATATATGTCTATGGTTATATCAATAAATGTGTTTAAAAAATGTTAACAAAAATATATGAAAAACAGTTTTTATAAAAATTTTCCCATATACTACCCTTAAGTAAATTAATTGAATGAATAATAAATTAGTCATGTGATTGTTATCGTTATTTCTAATTGAACTCGAATATTAAATACTCATTAAACACTTGCTAGATAAAGAATGTAACAACGAACAGTTTAAACAATAATTTTTTTATAATTCTACTAATAAGAAGGAGGAGGGGGAAAACCAATTTGTGATGACAATATGTCTAATATCGCAAATAAGGACATCTTTTACGTAAATAAATTAAGTCTACTACACTCTCTGTTCTGACGATTTTAAGCAAGAGCGTGTGCACACATGAAACTAAATTATCGCACAACTGTAGTGTGATTGTTGATTGTTTTGCAACTCATTCAACTGTTTAGTTGCACAACTAAAAATCATAAGATACAAAGTGAGAATAAACAGTTGTGCGATATTTTAGCTTCAGGTGTCCGCACACTCTACCAATTAAATTGTGCGTAAAATGTATGTTACGTACAGTTTGACAATACAATTAGAACTGACGTACATATCAGGCTTTACGAGCGTAATATTTCACCGTTAATGTTTACCTACTTATAATTACAGATGCAGCAAGGAACAACATGAAGCAGATATTATTATTACTAGAAGTAAAGAAAATATCTATTTATGATATCTACAGCCTGGATGGTCAACTGCCATTGAACTTAGTAGCGATTACCGCTACATATACTATTGTTCTGTTACAGTTTGCATTGTTACTTTAATCATACTTCATACTTGTATTATAAATGTGAAAGTTGAGATGGATGGATGTTTGTTAGAGTTTGTAGCCTAAACGGTTGAAAGGATTTCGATCAAATTTAGCATAGATATAAAGGATAGTCTGGAACAGAGGCTACTTGCGTTTGTTTTTTTTTTTGATCAGCGCGGACAGAGTCGCGGGCGAAAGCTAGTATAATATAAAAAAAATTAAAGGTTCTCCCAAAATTCTTCAAAGATTTTGATGCCGAGAGTTTTTAAATTCAATAGCTTAAAAATGAATACCTTTAGATTTGTTAAAATGGTTCTATGTTATTATGAGAAATTTTGGGGCACCTGTATTATGAGAAAAATCTTTTCTACTAAGAATTATTAAGACAATACTCACTTTATAGAGTTTTTTGCTAAAGATTCTTATTACGATAATAAAAAAGGGATCATATGGGAGAAATAAACAAAACACGTAAGATTATTAAAATCTATTTATTTCAACATCAATTCATTTAAATATATAAAAAATTGAGTCATTAAAAAAAAATGTAAAATGTGCATTTTAAAGCTAAACTGGACGGAATAAACATTGAAATACTTATTATAATGTATTATTTATATTAAGAGAAAGATGTTTTAAAATAAATTTATTTCACTGTATACTTAAACTAAATACCCACATGGTTTGAGATTCGTGCATAAAGAGACATTTCATTTTGACTGTAAAAAATAATAAAAAAAAATTTGAGTGTATAAAGACATACAAAGATCAATAATAGCGTTAGAATCCCACAAACATAACTACTATTTAGATGTATATTATGTTTTTTATATAAGAGATTTCAATTGTATACATACAACTAGCATCAGTCTCATTTGCAGTGCATGACTGACTATCAAAGAAGTATTTTGAATACCACAATACATGACAATGCCACTGCGACAAATGAATTTGTAACAACCGATGCACTGTTACACCGATGATCAAGAAAACAGAAACACCATACAGTTTCATCATACCAATCTCTGAAAAAAAAAAACAAATTATAACCTTTAAATGTAACTAGGGTTTTGGTAAACATAATCAATAAACATTGATGAAAAAGACATGATTTTGTGATCTAAGAAGGAAAATATTGCAATAATCATTTTAAATTAAGAGACTCAGGAAAATATTTGGAGTCAATAAAGAATGTAGTTCCTTTTGATTTGTGTTCCATCTCGGAGTTACTCTCTGTTTTTTATTTAACCTTTTCTTGTTAACTTACCTTTTCACATCTAGTTCTTTAATAGTATTGTTAACATAATTAGCCAAGTTAACATCTTTAGCTGCTGGTCTGCAACCTTCATATGTGTCTGCTGGTATATCTGTCCTAAAATTCTTGAAGTTGCTCAAACAATCCCTTGTTATTACTTCTTGAGCTGTAACAACAAATAAAATACAGGATACATTTAAATATATGTAAATTAAAAAGATAATACATTTGCCAATAATGTTTTTGGGACATTCTGGTGTCTTTGAGTATTTGGGTCTTAAGTTTAATACAATAAAAAAGTTAAAACAATTAGCTTTACCATTAATGAACTGATGCAGAGGGATAGGAAATAGGAAAAGAACATATCCTCTTAATTCCTTACAAAATTCTCTTTCCAGTCCCAAAGTCCCATTAAAATAATAAGGATGGAAATAGGAAGTTGACTGTATCTAAGGAAATTAGTCGAAGTCGTCCTTACCTCCTTTCCTCTCTATCAATTTTACACAAACATCTTCCCTATCAACGCAAGGACTGCCGAGATAACCAATACCACGCCAATTGAAGGGCTCGTTGCAACCAGGTGTGGCTGCCGTACATTGATAACACCATATTGCCAAACCTGCAACCAAAATATTATAAAACACTGTACAATTCACGTAAATCATTCGGTGTTGGCACCGACCAGTTACGGACCGGTCAGGGGTCCTTCATCACAGCGAGTGATTCAAACGACTTTCTCTCGAAAAAAGCAATTAATTAGCACAATTTAAAATAAACTTTAAATATGGAAAATACAATCGAAACAATACGTTACAGTAAACCACACCCTAGGTTTATTATGACAAAAACTTTACTTACATTCACTGAATAGCGAGACAAATAATATAATTAGTTGTTTCTTCATTATTGGGAGGTTGTAGATTAAATTAGTACTAGACTATATTACATTTAGTTCAAAACTTGGTTTGTTTTGAATTTTATTCAAAAACGAAACATGAACATCAATAAACCGATTCAGTCATAGCAAGAATCACAGACTAAAATTTTAAAACGAGAAATGTATTATCTGTCATACCGGCTTCGGATGAAGTCTATGCTCGTAATCTATGTTTTGCGCCCGGTAAATTCGAAAACTAGTTTTGGCAATTTTATTTATTCAAGATATGTATTCTTTCACCAATGTTTCAAATAGCATTAAGAAAAGCCGTAAACTATCAATTAATTCGTTATATGTGCAAAACAAAAACCGATCGTTTTAAGTTACGCTATTATAGCTAGTAAGATAAATGAACAATGTTTACAATTTCACGGTAGGGGTAAAAAATTCTTGCTACGCGCAATTAAGAAATTATATTAAATACACACAATATCAACAAAGATGGATCATTTATTATAATCACAAAATAAGAATCGATCAAGCACGAAAAAGAATCATTCAACTATAATACAAACACATTAAATGATGCTAGACATTATACATATATTAGCAATTTACAAATAACTAGATTAAAATTCTTCTTCCATCTTAGGTGGATTTTCATCAGGGAATACTGCTGCCCTCAACATTGCAATATCATCTTTATTTAAATCAATACCTAATGTTCCAACCACATCTTCAATGCCAATGGTACCATCATTGCTTAGGTCAACCTCTTTTATAAGATTTTCCAACATTTTGGGTGGTAATTTATGACCTTGTTTAGAAAGCAATTCCTTGAAAAATTCTCTATCAACCAGACCAGTATTATTCGGATCGAGAGATTGTAAAGCTAATCTTAATTCTTCTTCAATTGGAATAGCTCTTTGCCTTATTGTTACCATTTTGACAAATTGATCGAAAGTGATATGACCGTCTGGGTCTGGGGGCCTAACACAAAATGCTATTAATTCTTGCAATTGTTCAGGTGTGTAAGTCATGAGGAGCAACGATTTTAACATGTATATCAATTCTTTTTCAGTAATATAATTGTCTATATCAGTGTAAGCTGGATTATAATCTTGATAAATAGCCCAAAGTTGTTCTACTTCTGCTAACTGGTCATTTCGAAGAGCAAAGGGTGGTTTGAGAGCTTCTGAAGAATCTGTAAAATTGTATGGCTCCGCTGGGTCCGGTGGTGGTTCTTCTACGAATTGCTCCTCTTCCTCTATAAAATCTTCAATGACTTCTACTTTCTCTTCCTTTTTTTCTTCCTTCTTTTCTTCACCTTCTATTGCTTGATTCTCATCAGTTGGTGCATCCTGTGGTACGTTTTCTGGTTGATCAACATTTTCTGTTTGCTCTACATTTTCTGGTTGTTCGACGTTTTCTGGTGGTTCTACGTTTTCTGGCTGTTCTACATTATCTTTTTCTGTTGGTGCTATTTCTGATTTTACTTTTTCAACAGTTTCATTCTCAGTTGCATCGTTTTCCATTATTATATCACTTGTAATTTAGTTTAATTGGATAGATTTTCACGTAGTTACTCAATTTATACTAAAAATTTGTCTCCACATCTTGGCTTTCTTAAGTGTGACCTTAAAGCTATAGTTAAGTTTTCAGTTATTTTATCATAAAGATGGTGACTTCTTAAAGAAATACTATCAAGAATATTAATAAACTCTTTTAAAAGCTCCTCGCGTACATCGTCTATAAAATTAAACATTGATATTCAAAGTAAATAAATATATCGTACAAAGACAAATAAAATTTGACATTTTGTCACATTTCTTTTTTTAAAGGTAAAATCTATGTGAATATTTTGCCAGCCAATGGTTAAATCACATTAAAAACTCTGTAAAAGAAATAAAAGATGTGTGCCGATCGTTTTCTAGTATACGCGGTGCATATACATTTCCACAATTTAGGCACTAAAGTAGGCGCAGAAAAAAATAAAAGAGAAGTGGTGCTTGGGGACGCCTGTTACATCAAAATTCGTTTCTACTCAAAGGCAAATCTGCCATTATACTAAAAAACGATGTTTACATTTCTCTCAACTGCTTATTCTTCAAATATCCACTGTATTGATTTTATGTAGTGTTCAAGCTGTGTATAAGCGTGGGTTTTCGCTGTCCAATCACGTATACAAAAATGAAACATACGGTACAGATATTGACAGATCTTGGACATCTATGGTTATAACTATATTAAAGAATTATTTTATTTTATTCTTGTTCGTAGTAATTTATGTACGAATTCATTTTTGTTTTATTGACATATCCATTTTATATTAAGTTTACATATTTTACACATTTTAAGTGATATAGATAGTACGAAATGTTACGCCCCCTTATAGTAACTATGTACATTTTTATTAGCTTGGGTAAATTTAAAATTAAGATTTCATGTAAATATAAACTATTAACTGATATGTAAGAGAATGGGTAATCAAAATATTCAAGAAATTTCTTCTTAGTTATTGCGTTAGATGTTTCGCAAAAACCAATACTTTACATAATATACCGTAAACTACATGAAAACTAATAACACTAAAAGTAAATAACTTTCTAAGATCTCTAGACTAGGCTAAATTGTTAGATATTAGTCCTTTTACCTATTTAGAAAACAATCCATGTATTTCCGAGCATATAAAGTGTTTCCGTATTTATTTGCAGTTTTCAAGTCGCTTTGTTGTTGACTGCAATGCAACACCAATGCATATACAAATAAACAACATTACAAGCGTCCGTTCCGTACTAATTATAATATTGTATTTACATTAGTGGTCGATGTATTAAATCAACTCTAGATAATGCTAAAGTTCTAGTATCCCACGGCCAATGCTTTCATAAGGCGCATCACGTGCTTTTCGCTTGTGAAGAAAGAACGTCTATGTTGTGAGTGGTGAGTGAGGAATAGGCAAAGCGCGCCAAACCGGGCAGAAGAGAAGCCGCGCGGTTCCGTCGCGCATGCGGGCTAACTTCGTTCATAGTTGGCGCGAAATACTAATTCCGATTTCTTTAATTAGGTTATAATTTTTTTTTTTTACATTAAAACGGATTTTTTAAGGAGAATTAAAATGGTAAGTGATGTAATAGAAATTATATTTTTAACAGAGGATAAAATATTAGTACAATATATTACAATGAAAACAAACATTAATGAACCAAATCATTTATTTTACAATGTATAAAGTATTACTCAATTAATTCTAACATTTCTAAACAATATTGATGGTAAAGATTATCTTTGAAACGTGCTTGTTTATGAAAAAGACTACAAAAGTTATAAAATCACAATTTGCGTGTGCATGTTAAAAAAGTAACAGAAATCTATGTTATGTTTGCTTTTAATTTACTTTTTTCTTATAATTGCTTTCCTTAAATCTGAAATTATTACAATCAATGAGTAACATAAAGTGTTTTTGTGAACAAAAATCTAATAAACAAATAAATATTAAATCCAGGAAAAAATAAGAACTTTCTCTCGAGACTTTTTAAAGAAAAATAGTACTACAAATACGAAAAAACTTCGTTTTTTGGTTATCTTTATTTCATCGTGTGATTTTAAAAATCAGATTATATTTAAATAGTCGGAAATGAATCGCATTTAAAACTAAAAAATTCATCCACGCAAAAAGTTCTCATTGTTTTACTTAGATCAAGTTGTAACAATCCTAGTTAAATAGCTTCAGAAAAATTTTCAGATAAACTTACTATCGTTATATCCCAATTATCCCAATCTATCTAGAGTCGCAGACAAAAACGACTTCTAAATAAATCTTACAATGTCATCTCCTTTTTTAATCAGTAAAAATTTACGAATTCTATTCACTCATAAACACTACCTGTTGTTCGCGACTTCGTCCACTTGAAATTACAAAATAGTAAAAAATATAACCTATGTTATTCACTGATAACGTAGCTTTTTAATGGCGAAAGATTTTTTTAAATCGGCCCAGTAGTTTTTGACTTATTTAAATACATACAAAAATACGAATCTTTCCTCTTTATAATATTAGTATACATATGTACCTTTATTTGTCAAAGTAAACTGTATAAGTTCGAATTAAATATGACGAAAGAGTATTTATGCAGATGTTCTCGTTGCAACAGATGCGTGCGAATAGATTTGTACGTTATTAGCGATAATTCCCTGCAGCAGAAAACGCTCACTCAGTAAACACTGTTAGACAACATAATGTGAGATGAAGCTAAGTTTTAGTAACGCCTTTAAACCTTGATTAACAAATGTGACTGGAAATTCAAATTAATGGGCAGATTATTTGGAAGCTTTCATTCTTGGTTACTATATTATAACAAAGTCAGAGATTAGAAATAAATACCGGGAAAAAAGAATAAACAAAAACTTAATTGTTACGATTATTGTGAATAACTTTACAATATAGGATTTATTTGTTCTGTAGAAATTGTTTTATTTAGGTAAAGAAAGTCGTTCTAGTTTTCTATACTAATATTGTAAAGAAGAAAGATTTGTATTTTTGTATATATTGATATAACTCAAAAACTACTGCGTCGTATACAATCTTCTTTCACCATTATTAGTGACTACCATAGGCTAAATTTTTTAATTTCACGCGGGAGAAGATGTCAGCAGCAGCTTGCCAGAGATAAATAAATGAAGTACTGACGAATGAAATGATTTTTTTTTAATTGTCGCATAAACAATTGTAAAAAAATAGAATCATGCTCTGATCTGACCTCACGTCATTTACATAGTAGTTATAAAAATGCAATATTGCACATCCGAATGTGAAGGTAACACCTACGACTCAAAAACCTGACGTGATATTCAAACAAAAGCATTCTAATAGACAAACAAAGTACTACGAGTCATCGAAGGTATCGTTAGCAAATAAAACGGGACCAATATGAGACGTGACAAGGTTGAATATCCAGAATAGCGGTCACGTCAGTTGATAAAATATTTGAGCTTGAAACGTGCAAACAAATTGAGCATAGACCGTGTTTGTTTTTTAATTTCCTTATTTCATTTTTAATTTAATTATTAATCCGTGTAATTATTTCAAACTTGAATACATATTGTTTGTATACATCAGGAAGAGTATCACAAACGAATTAATTCCACTTAATTTATTTATTGTATTGCTACCTATTAAAAAAGTTGATACAAAACACGGCATTTTAAGGTTAGAACATAAAATAACGTCTTAAAAAACATTCTTAACCTAGTGTTTAGTAAATTGATCGTAATTTAGTTGCTCGACCATAGATTCAAATTTTCGACTTTGATAACGCCTGAAAAAAAAAACAGTTAATTCCATTTAATACAAGTTTAATATATCAACGAACTACACCCTTGTATTGTAGATTGATTGAAAACATTCACTGAATAAGTAATAATTGACCGAATAATCGTAAATCAATTTAGATAAACGTGATGTTCGTGATAAGAACGATCGAATTCCGAAAGGTATTGTTAATCTACAAATCTTTGACCTCAAAGCTCCGCCCGTGAACTGCGCTTCGTAATAAAGCAGTAATTAGTGATTTGCCAAACAGACAATATCTGTAGCACGCACTACGTGATGATCCTTGAGAGCTTATTTTAATTGACTTCAACGATGCAACCTTGTCATTGCTTATATATTTTGACGTCTATAATCATCCCAGATTTGAGGCTCTTTGTCGTAATGAGTACCTTTAAATTGATGTAATTTGAATGTAATATCCGTTAACATTTGTAAAAATACATATTTATAGTAATTGGTATTTTAATGGACAAAACGAGGAGGTTCGTAATTCTTACCGTACGTTTTTAAGTCCAAGCTTTTGCTGAACCACTGATTTCCCATAAGACTTACACACTTGAAACTAAACTATCTCAGGACTGTTTACTTTCGCTTGGATACCGATTGAGATTATACGGAGGTGCGCACACTACTCGATTTTTAGTTGTGCAATGAAACAGTTAAATTAGCTGGATAACAATTGACAATCGCACATCAGTTGTGCGACAGTTTGCCCAAATGTATGCGCTCGTTCTTGGAAATCCAAAAAAAAAAACAAAAGAAGGTAAATAACATTATTTTTAATGTAGCATATTCAACTGTAAGTAATATACATCTTGAGCTTTTTCCTTTGGTCAAGTCAATGTACTATGAACATTACTTACGCGAATATAACAGTAAACTTTGCTTTCCATGGTTGAAACATGCACGAGAGACGCTGCTATCTCTGATATTTAAAAAAAAAGGGACGACAATTGTATGGGCGTTTCGGACGTGGAAACCGACTGTTACAGTAATGTGCAATAAAACATGTCGAGAGAAGGTCACGATTGCACAATAAATCAATGTAATGTACGTCTTCGATGAAATATTTTTATCGTTTGTGATCTAATTCTGACACGATACTAATAGCTTAGTCTTAAGGGTTAGTGTGTGCACAGGACAAGGGCGTCGCCAGTGTAGAGGGAGCAGTTTAAAGTATCTAAAAATTGCAAAATCGATATAATAACAACGAATAAGACTATATTATTAGCAGCTAATTATTTTTCCATTCCACCCTTTTCTTCAGAGGAAAGGATGGGAAAGAAAAGTGGAATTGACGGTCGAGGAGACGCATGGGAAGGGGAAATGTCCTCTTTATGAGCATCTTCTCCGTCAATGAAGGGTAGGTAACGCATCTGCAATTGCGGATGTTTATGGGCAGCGGTCGCTTGCCATGTCGATGGATTCAGGTGGCCGCTTGCTCGTTTGCCACCTTATATTATAAAAAAAACCGGATTAACTTAGATCATCGGTTGTTAACGCCCGTGACAAGAATATATAATTTCCTAGTTAACATAGCTTCCTAGTTATAAGTAAAAGGTCAGCTTACCACATACCTATGTAATTAACAATACAATTATTAAATGACAGTTTTGATGCATAGCATTTTATGCGCATTTATTTATGGCATAATAAATGGCACATTTCTTGATTATTCAGATGTTTTTTTATGACTATACTAGCTGTTCCAGTGCGGCTTCATCCGCATGAAATGTCAAAATTCAAATACACAAATGACAATTGCTTCCTTGATGTTGGCAGCAATTTATGGTCTCTTTCCCACAATGGGATTTTTATCCAAAATATTTACCCTCTAAGTTTAATGGCGTGAAAATATATAACCTAAAACGTGACGTAATTGTGGGGCTTTTTATTAAAAACAGAATTTTTCAAAAATATGCTGTAATTGCTGATATCTTAGACAACAAAGAAGTGTGTGTTTACGCTTTATTATAATAGTATAGATCTACTATATCTTTTTTTATGTTAATGCTAACCGTATACTCTAACCTTATTGTCGTTTTTCATTGTCGAAACACTTGTATTAAACGTTGTCTATGGTTTTTCAAAGAGAATCATAGAGTTAGTGTTCTTTAATCAATGGCCTAACAGTGGGAATCCACAGACTCAATGCAGGAAAAGGATATAAATTGCTGTAAAAAAGAATCTTGTGTTAGCTAGTAAAAACAAACAGATAAATCTAGATTATCGTTAAAGCAATGAATCAGGACTATAGCTTTTCTGTATGTCTAATTACTTATTCATATATTCTTCATCGACCGCGTCTACTTTGGAAATCAATAACTTTTGCCTTCAAATGATCTTGTATCATTATAATTAACTCTTGGTCTAAGTTAACTATAGCAGGCTATAATGAACTTATATTAATATTGTGTATGCTTATTTGAAGATAATATGTGCTGCTTTAATAGTGTAGGGCTTTAGTAAAACTTAACAATACTACTTGAGCCATCAAAATATTAGAGATTCGGCCGCACGGAATCAAAAAATTAAAAAAACATAGCTTATGTTACTTAATGGTAACTTAGCTATTTATTAGTGAAAGACTAAAACTCTCTCTGTATTTTATTATTTTGTCTATTTTACGGCAGTCGAAGTTCAGACAATAAGTCAATTACCGCGGAAAAGCTCCATAAAAAGACACCGCGTCTAAAACTTCGAAGTACCAAGGTATCACGTATGTTAACAACACTATAATAAAACTAACTTATCTAATTTTCTACTCAAACTGTAGGTTCTTTATAAATTGTATTATATAAGAGTTTTCCTGCGTAGTTTTATTACACTTTGATGAGTGCTAGTTGAGATTTCATAAACATCGTTTGCTAAGAAAAACCTAATTATATACTATAGGAAGTTCCTACAGAAAATTATTTAAAAAAAAATTTCGTTAATTACATTTTAGTAGTTATTTCGCGCAATAAAATTTTTAAAAGATTACTTAAAGATATTGCTTGAAGTAAATAATCTATACTAATATAATAAAGCGTAAACACACACTTCTTTGTTACCTAAGATGTCAGTAATTACAGCATATTTTTTTAATAATTCTTTTTATAATAAAAAGCCCTAAACTTACGTCACGCTTTAGGCTATATATTTGCACACTAATAAACTTAGGAGGTAAATAAATTGGAAAAAATCCTTATGTCAGAAAGGGACCATAAATTACAAGCTACCAACATTAAGAGAGCTAGGTTGTCATTTATGATGTGACATTTGAACATTTTGAATAATTTTGACATTTGATAAACGTAAACAATAAATTAAAGTTTAATTTCGTGCGGATAAAGTCGCACGTCGCACGGGAACAGCTAGTCAAGTAATAAATTGTCTCAACTTTATATTTTGCCAATAACGTAGGTATATCAAAACAAAGTAGTTGTTATGTTTGTTTCATTTAGTTCCTAATTTACAGTCACTCTCTCTTGCTCTCTCCGCTTGAAAGTCACAAGTCATCCTTATTGGCGTTTTATTTATTGTATTGTGTAATCTCTAAACGTATTGATGTCTATACATTCTTTGAACTATTAATGCGGTGTTAACTCTGCGCCAAAACTCTAAACTGTTGCCAAACCACTGAACCAATTTAACACTGATTGGATTTTCCGACACCTACTTAATTTACCAACAAAAATCGAATTTAAAGAGTTATTCAAGAAGTATTAATATTATTATATACTTTTTAAGTTGTGTCACGCAAAGATATTTAAATAATATAACTACTTGACTCTTTGTGGATATCTATACTCGTACTATCTATACTAACGTTATAAAGAGGAAAAAAATGTATTTTTGTACTTGTTGAAATACAACGAAGTCGCGGGCAATAGCTAGTTATAAATATAAAGGTACAAAAAATGGTTTATATTTTTCTTAAGGTGCATTGCAAGGTCTATTACAAGGTCTGGTATGTAATAAAGATGCATTTCTGGCTTTAAAACGGAAACAAACCATTTATGTTATCATCAATATCCTATGTTTGTATTTATTTCGTTCATTGTCAACTCCTAAGGATCAGTTTAAATAGACTTTTTCCTTATTTCGAAGGTTAAAGATATTTTCTTATTTGCAGTTTTAGTTTTTTTCATTTACAAATTGACTCTTTCATTCTTTTTGAACAAATGGAGATAATGTATGTTTTTATAAAAGTGTATTAACATTTTAGTTTTGTGTTTTAACTAACAGTTATGTACGTATGATAAGAACATATCACTGATAAATTCTTATTGAACACTGGTTCAATCATGCTTCACAAATGTAAACTTGCTGAAGACGGTAAGGAGTTAAAGATAGTTAGGAAGCTCAGAATCGACCTTTGTAATTTTTCCGGGTGAAAGTATGGGACTGGCGAGTGGCGTCGTGGACCACGGATTATTGAGGCCCCATCGCATCACGTGAGATGTTACGTATTGTATCATATACATTGACAAACTACATATATCAGGTCAATGCTGCTGCTCGATTTTATACGCCACTACAATATTAACAAAAGGATTTATGAACAACCGCGTAATCTTACCATATTAAGTTTGCCATATTCTATTGTGTTGCAAAATGTGCTTTTCATTTATATACAGTTATGAAATACAAAATGACTAAATAAATACAGTGGTAGAGCCAGCATTATCATCTTTTGCATGAATTGGTCGACACACTGCGTGTGATACCACCACAAAAAATACTGGTGCGTGTGTGCAATTCAGAGGGCTAATTTTAATCCACTGTCCCTTCCCACGATAAAGATTGATTTTGATGGAGGAAGGGATACATAGGAACATAAGTCCCTCCACCGTCGATTAAAAATAGGGGACACAACTACAACCTCTGCATTGCGATGTCTATGAGCAGCGCTCCCTTCGCCATATCGGTTGCCACCTTATATTACTTCTAGTTAAAAGTTTTTAGCCTAATTATACTATGCATTGAATTTTTGTTCTAATATTTTAAAATCACGTACCAAAAAAATTGTCAAACCCTTTTTGGATTTAGTATATTAATTCAACTAAATTTAATTCTAGGTAAAATAAAACGCAAAGCGCATGAACCATCTTATCAAATTGCAGACTCCGCTCCGATTGGCATGTGAAGGGCCGCATTCTGTTATTTATGCCCCATATTGTAATTCACTTCGAGTGCCCATAGTACCTTCAAAGCAGGTTAGCAAACAAATGTTAACTATAACACAACTGTTTAAGGCTCAATTTCGCTTCTTCATATATTTAACTTCAGATCATCGTCAATTTCACACTATTAGAATATATTGAAATTGGCCCATTTTTTATAGTCTATTGTCTTCATCGATACTATAAAAAGGGTTCCAACAGGTTTACAAATAGATGTAACCTGTAGATGGATTTTTTCATACAAGTTTGACGTTAAATCGAGGTCTAAGGTGATCTACCGAAATAAAAGACCCACGGAGGTATTTTTTCGACACGCTTCTGTGTCCAAACTCCAGATTTAAAAACTCATGTAATCTCTGGCTACCAAAACAGTTTTGTACATATTTGTCAAAGGTTATCGTGATGTAAACCAGTTGAAATACAGAAATTCCATACACAAACCCATAAAGGATTCAATGCCTTACAATTGTCATAAAATGGTCCATTTTTGTCAGCATTATATTGTTATAACCGAAAAAGGTATTATAAATCTAAACTTACAATGGTTACCTGTTATATTGGGTTTTTACCGCGATACTTACAAAAATATACAAGAAACTTGTTAAAGTCTGTCTACTCAAGATAATTTACGTAAAAAGTGCAATTCCAAGAGAGTGTTAATTCGTTACTTTATCACATTTTATCTTGTTGAATTAAGCCGTTTATTTGATGCTTTACAGAAGTGTATTGTGGACAAGTATAGTATAGCGTGTATTGTGAAAAATTTCATAAATAGCACAGGCCTGTATACATTGTTAGAGCCTTTCTCTCGCCATATTGATTAACCGTAGCATAAGAGAAGGGAAGACTGATGAGTGTTTGGTATTTTTGTATTTACGTCATTACTTATGAAATATTTTATAACGTCCTGTAATGGTAAAATGTATCCTTTGTTCTTTTATATCATAAGATCGTAGTTGTTTTAATAATAGTACCCTAAAGTTACGCCTACGGGCTTTTTAAATGTTTCAATTATATGTACTAAAACTTTACAACGTAGTTAGTTACATTTATCCCACCCACGTGATACTCAGTGGGTTAAAATGTGCAACATTTACAATCTAAGGGCCTGTCCCACCAAATTGTAAAATTAATACCAATCCAACGTGTAAAATGATGTCTTTATTCGACAAAAATAAATCCTGATTCAGGACTTACTTATTGTGAAACAAACCCATGATCTTAATAATTAACCTGTAGTTTACTGTCACAAAACGCGTGTATCTTTACTTTAACGGTGCCTTACTTTAAACTTTAAATATTTATTTGTAGGAGAGAAAAAAAACCAGTCTTTTATCATGTAGTATTTCCACTATAACTTCATTCGACTATCTTCACATATTCACGGTCAAGGACAGTTTAAATTAACGTGTTATGAAACAATAATAGCGCTCGTGAATGAATTGCGAAAGCAATAATGAGCACTATAATTTGCAATAACAGATTAGTTAACTTTTAAAAACATCAGTACCCATAGCTATATTTGCTAACGTTAATTGGTTGTACCCCCCTCTACCCCTTGGCAACGCTCGTAATCATAAACATATAATAAAATCAAAGTGTCTAAAATATCAAAAGAATTGTCTGTCAGCAAGCCGCGTTTTTATTTGGGTAGTCTCGGAATCGGATGGACTGATTTTAACGGGACTTCACTGGAGGGAAGCTGACAGAGACAGGCAAATTATAGGCTACATTTCTTTAAATTTCGCGCTGTCAAAATGGCAACCGGACCGCGATCTCGGTCGCGATCTCGATCTCGGAACGGGTCGACCGATTTGGACGGCACTTTGACTGGAAGGTAGCTGTTAAAAGGTAGATGGATACGGGAATGTTCTGCGCTAACGAAGTTTGCGGGCGACAGCTCGTTAATACATATTATTACTGACAGTAAGTTCGGATAACCAGTACTCATTTGAATCTCGTAGGCTCTTGTCCTTGGTACATCGCATTCGGCTTCGTGACCATTCATATGCCCACGCAATAAATGCTCGTGATATACTTTTCGCCAAGTTAATCTCCTTGTAATTTAAGAATTACTTGTTGCACAAGGGATCTTGGTCTATGGACAAAGATTTATCGGTAATATAGTAAAACAATAAGGTATTCCCATTAGCGTATTGCAAAATTATTCACTAGTAGTCAATTAAGCATATAATTTTTAAGTTCTCAAAAAGATAACTTGCGCATAATTTTATTTTTAAACGACCTCTCTTTCATTTCCAGGAATAACAGATTGTAAATAATTAATAGTACTAATTGTTGCTTAACTATAAACGGTATTGCAACACAAAAACCAATCAAGCGTAGTCGTGTCTCATCACTAAAATGCAGAGAAGGTGCACCACATCGATTACTCTCGGAATCGAGAACATATTTCGCAATACACATACAAATGATTGTCGGTCTGGATAATTAGCTGCCGTGGTGTCTGTAGTCACGATGTGGTGAGCCGCGTGGTATTGTGGGATGTGGTCATGTGACTCACCCGATATTGACTGATTTATACAGATTATAAATATCGATAATCGATAAAAAAAAAAAACAGGAAAAAAAATTGAAATAGCACACAAAGATTAAAAATACAAAGCATTTACTTTAATCCTTTATTTGTGCCTCTAATCCAGACGGAGATATTTTAAAGACAGTGGCGTGCAAAGACTGCGCTGAATAGAGGTCCATGGTCTTCGTAAAAACATTTGTTAGTAGGAAACATGTTCACGATTCTTCATATTGACAACATTAACACAATATATTAAACTAAAGCATCAAGGTCAGAAGGTTAAGGTTAGAAAGAATTTAACACAAATGCAAAACTGATTAATGAAATAATTAAAGGTAGTGATTCATTAATGGCTATTGATAATTCAGAATAAAAGGAGCTAATCGATTAAATTATAAGAACGCAAAGTAATTGACTATCAAATTCTTTACCATAAACAAATCAGCCATCTTTATAAAATGCGCGTAAACTAATAATCGGTTCATTGCTTGCAAATTAACCATTAGTTGTGAGTTTCTGAGATACCTTTACAAAAAATGTTTGCTATCTCTGTTTTATCAATGAAAATAAAAATGATGACAATAGTTTTAGGCAGTTAAAGTGTATCAAACCAGATCAGATCGCTACCGTGTAACTCTACCGCGATCAGAATTGCGATGGCTAATTTTCCACATAACAGTTGAACATCAAGACCTGTCCAGTTAATGATAAATTAATCTTTGATGTTACGTAAATTACATTTGCTCAATGTGTGACGAATGAAATGGTCAACTGAGAATCGATTATAATGTACTAGTCGCATTTCTTTTAACTTTTTACACTACTTCTTGTTGGATATGATAGTAAGGATTACAAAAATATAACGTTGTTCCTGGTCTTGTTTACAAATCAAGTAGTAATGTAGTAATTAAAAATCAACAAGTAACATCTAAGGGTGAGTGGCACCATATGGTTAAAATTATTTGTAACAGTAACCATTTGTAATAACCTTAAAATTTACTTGTAAATGTTCAAAATTATGTTGAGTAATAATCATAAAGATGATGACTGTAATTTATACGGTCTTAATAATTACTTTGCTTGCTTCATTCAATAAATAATATTTTGCTAGCCAATTGCAACGCATTCTCGCAAGTTTAAACTTTGACTCTTGCCTCTACGGAAACATAAATCAGTAAGTAATATGTAGTGTTTAAACCAAATAGTTAAATTGCAAAGTTTTAATTCAGATAAGATTATTTTAATAATTACTACGACAAATGTTAATACTAGCCTTTGCTCACGACTTCGCCCGCGTGAAAAAATCATCGTCATCTCCTTATCCTATTCCCGTAAGGTCGACGCAACAGGTTTTTGCCCGCGGGAAAAATTAAATAATAAAAAAAATATAGCCTATGTTACTCACAGATAAATTACCTTTCTAATGGTGAAAGATTTTTTATAATCGGCCCAGTAGTTTTTACGTGAATCAAATACATACAAAAATACAATTTTTTCTTTATAATATTAGTACAGATATAGATTAAAACCTCGTTTTAGAAAGACGGTTAAAAATTACATACATTGTATTCACAACCTTCAGACAACATAGCATAACCTTTTTTATTTTTTAATTCTTTACGGCTACTTCAAGATTTGGACATAGCTATTCGATTTGAAATCTTTAAACTTCCTATGTAAATGTAGATACGAACGTTCCTCGTATCAATTACTTTAATTTATATTATGAACACGATTTAACACCAATAGATACACCGTGATCAAAATAATAACATAATATTATTCATTACAAAGTTTTAAGACAGGGTTGCCTCTTAGAAGATATTTATATACAAACGTCACTTTACTACTAAAATTTTACAATACATTTTAACGTGTACACCTAACGCATAAGTCTTAAGAAATTAGAAAAACGTTGTGGGAAATGACAGTTTGCTTAAAATATTGGCTTTCCTTAATTTTATCTAGGATACTTGGTCAAATTCTTGGTATCTACATCTTAATCCCAATGTTCTCAATACTTTTCTGATGGGTACAGTCCTGCCTTTTAATCTTTAAATACTCGTAAATTAGGAAAATAGTTGAACATGATGTGAGTGGCACCCCTGAACGCGGCATCCGTATGTTAGTAACAAAGAAGCACACGTGATAATGACAGTCTCACCTTGTAGCAATGCTGATCTCGTATTAGTTGGGTCCATTAAGCTTTCGAGCGTTAAGATCTATTTGTTAGGCGGAAGGTCACGGTTCAATGGGCTGTTTCGTCACATCACGCGCACTTGCTACTTTAAAACTCGCGATAAGTTTTGTTATAATTAAAATACATATAACTTAGTGAATTTAACTTCGGCCAGTTAGATTTTCGTAACATAATCGAGTAATGGATATTACAAACGCAACGGCAAGATCTAAAGCTATATTACGTAGGGGATATTTCACGGAGATTGTACATGGTATTATGGTAAAACTAGAGACCTAGTGCCCCTCGCATTCGACCATAAACATAGGACATTGTGTCGAAACTACTAAGTTTACTATCTTTATAATATTGTTAACTAAATAACTATACGAGTATGTGCACAAAATGAGACGCCACGCGCTGTTTGTCGCATAAATACAGTTAGCATCATTGTCTGTTAAACAAAAGAATTCGTAGATATAATTTACTTTCATCTTCTACGGTTGTAGTTTTAATCCAAAAATGTCTATATATGAACTTTTTCTTTTCAGGTTTTGTGTATTAAAAAAGAAAATAGGTGTCTACCAACCCGCAACGATAGTAGACCGCGTGAAATAAAATATTAAAAAATGTAGCCTATGTTACACATTAGATAGTTAAATTACCTTTCTGATCGTGAAAGAATTTTTGAAATCGGCCCAATAATTTTTACGCGAATCGAATACATGCAAAATCCAAATCTTTACTCTTTATAATATTAGTATAGATATAAGGTTTTATTTACAGTTACCGTAGTTGCGGTTAGATTTAATTGTCTCTGTCTCAGTATAAAAAATATATCATTATGTTTATTTACTTGATTCTTTGGAGATCTAATTTTGGACAGGTTCAGTAAATTATTCAAACTACAGAGAAGCGAAACTCGTGTGCTTTATCTTTTATTGTGCTGCAACATCCACGTGAGAATATGCTGTAATAGAGAGCAAGTATCACAGAGATCTAGATCCGAGTATACATTTTCGCGTAACAAATGTGGTTTTTAAAACACCTTATCTATAAGCTGAATCTAAGAGGAAATACTAGTATCTATAGTGTAATTTAACATTTTTATAGCTTTAGGAAGTAAAAAAAAGGAAGACCTGAATCAGCACAAAAGTTCATTAAGGAAAAAAAACAAAATAATCTATTCTATTCTATTTCTTGTTTATGGCTCTCCCTCAGCGGATTGGGCCAGTGTTAAAATTTTCTATACTAATATAATAAAGAGGAAAGATTTGTATTCGTATTTTGTACGTATTGAAATAACTCAAAATCTACTGGGCCGGATTCAATAATTCTTTCACTACTAAAAAAGCTACGTTACGCTATGTTCCTCACCGATAGTTTATATTAATTTTTAATTTAACGCAGGCGAAGTCGCGAGCATCAGTTAGTCATTCATAAAACTCTTTTCTTGTTACAGCGACCAATAAACAAATTCCCTATCGTTTGCAGTCTGTTTGTGTGTTTGGTACAAATGACAGCAAGCGGTATGGCGGGAACGCAATTCTCTTCGCATGTGAGCGTCAGTACACCTTCTAGAAGCTTCTCGCATGGTGTGGGCGACCCCGTGCCACTTCCTCCAGCACAACAGAAGTCAACGTATAGAAATGTGAGAAGTAAGTTTTTTTCGCTGGAAACATCATTCAATATTCTAGCTGTGGTTGCAAATCTTTGATAGTAGTATACGCCTCTTAGACTCCCGGAGATGGATGTCTATTCAGTTTCATTATTACATATAGGACAATGTAATTTTTATTGTGTTTCAGGACCCACTTTTTCTGATGACTTCGGATATCCGCGAGTGAAACCGGCGATACCTTTTGTTCACGAAGATATCGTTCGTAACAAACCCTATGGCCCACCATCATTACATAACTTCTTTGGTAAAGTTTGTAATAAAGATTTGGTCTTTGCTTTGTAATATACGACGGTGTTGCTGACTAGATTATTATCACTGCCTACCCATTGTATATTTAAAAAACTCTCATCTACTCTTGGATGTAAACTATAAGTTTGGCTGTGAGGAATATAATTTTCGCGGCGTTAAAAGTCGACAGTACATACATTCCTTTACTAACATTTTTTTGTTGGTTCCAGATGCACCTATCCCCGTATTGCCGCCGTCGCCGTACAAAGTGGATTCCCCGGACCCGGAATCCCTCTGGCCGGAAGGTCTATTCGTGCCGCCATTGACCCCACCACGCTTTGGATTACGAAGGGTTGATGCCCGTAAGGTTTTATCGAAATTGTGTCAATTAAACATTTAATTACACTAAAAACAGAAACTAAGTTTTCTAATTCTAGTTACAACCCAAATTAATAAGACCATTAGTATCATTCATAGATAATTGTATGCAAATCCTTTAATTATAAGATGTTTAAGGTCCTTAATAATATCTTTTATGTCTCATACATGAATTAGAATTTTCATTAGATACTTCAAACATTTTATAGTTGCATATACTTTGTCTATGGGTTTATAGTTGTGAATGGTACGTTTTAAATACATTTGCTGAAGACTGCAACAGTTTTTAAGCATATTTTATTGCATTTTTATGGATGAAAGATATTTAGCCGCAATAAATTTTTCGTCTATAGTTTCGTTTACTATCCCTTAAGTTTTAACTTCGTTTTATTTACCCTGCTTACGTCAGTTATGTTTTTCAGATAATTTACTAGACCCATACCTACTAGAGGGCTCGGAAGCTGTGGCCGCAGTGAGGAGAGCTGACCATCACGGGCATTTCTTCTTCCACGACATACCTCACATAGAATCGTTGCTCGCGAACCAAAACCTCAGAGTGAAGAACAATTTGAAGCCGCATCGTATCGGAAGCATTCGGAACACGTGGCCTTACAACCGACCATAGACAATAATTTAACAAACAAAAAAAAACAAAAATATTTATGTGTAAAAAAAAATGTAAAAATACTCGTAAAGTCATTATTATGCATTTGAATAAATAAAAAGATTACCTCCATTGCTTTTTTTTATTTTAACAATAATAGAAAAAATGCTTATAGGTTTTGTGTGCTACAATATTGTCTTTATTAAAGTGAAAATTTTTTACAAAACTATAATTAAGTACATTTACTTGAGTATATTTTTAAATTAGAAAATTGTATAGTCATGTAAACAAGTATTATATAAATCTTATTCTATATACATACATTTTCTTTGTAGTACAGGTAAAGTTAGCGGCAGTGTCAATTTTTATTTACAAGAACACAAGCAAAATATATTTGCTGTTTGATAAATATCACATAACTTGGACGGTTTTATATTAGTCAATATTATGGAATGAATTTAATTCTATGTAACCAAATTCAATGACAAATATAAAAAGTCAATCTCAAAAAATCTGGTATTAACAATAAAACAACTTTCAGTCATATAAAATAAACAAAATTAAAAGAAAATCAATTCAAAAAAAAATTTCAGACAGTATCAAAGAACATTTACAGCCTTAGTAATGCAGTATAAAGTGAAACTTGGGAATAAACTAAGAATAAGCAAATATTAGAACAAATATTAACTTTTACCACATTTATTTGTAAGGCTGTAACGGTCTATACAAAATGTTTCTAGATGCCAAGATGACTGAACATAGAGATTCAAATACATTATAAATATCACAATAAAAAAATACATCTTTACATCACTTACGAGTAAAAAAAATTATAAAACAGCACAGAAACTGTAAGTAAAATTATTGAAGGAATAGCTGTAATCTTGTAGGATGAATTACAGAGATCACCATTACAAAAACACATGTAAACTTTTCTGTGACTCCACATTGTATATGCACATCTCTCCTCATAGTCGCTTGGCGGACGTTGGAGACACATTCTTTCTGTTGCCGCACCATAATCTGAAAATGTAGAATATTTTAACATGAAACATATTCACCAATAACACATAGAACAATTACGTAACTGGTGGTACTTGATTTAGTAAACATACAAATTTAAATCTGAAAGTTTTAAAGGATGGATGCTTGTACATATCTCCAAAATGGCTTAATGGATCTTGATCTATGGCACAAATGTAGAACATAGCCTGGAGAAAAAATTTATAGATTTAATTTGAAAGCAACAAGTCACAGGTAAAAGTGATACAATTGCAAAACCAAAAATCATCACATTATAAATTATGTGTTCATTTACAATCAATGCAAATTTGCTAATCAAAAAATTTGTGTAAATAATAATATGTATATCAACATTAATTTTTAATACATACCATCATTCTTAAATGCACCAATGTTGCCCTCAAAAGACTTTCCGCACCAGCCAGATGGGCAAGCTACAACATGAATGCCCATCTCTGCCTCCGGCTCTGTTACATTGAATGGAAATGGATCCCCACATGAGCCAAGTTCACCTCTCGATCTGCATTTTATACATCTTTTGTTTAAACCTGTAAAATGTAAATAAATCCTTATTTGTGGTAAGGTTGCTAGTTGTTTATTGTTTTAAAATGGTATAACATGTAATTTAACCAATAACAAGATTCATATCTTTCATTTAATTATGAAAACACACAACAATCCATATTATTATTTTAAAGATTAGTTATTATTACAGATATACCTTTCTTTTAAAACTAATTTTTAAAAAGCTAAGCTAGTAATATTTTAACTTTCTGCAGAAATTTTATGCATCTAAGTACTTGATACTAATAATAATAACTTGTCTCATTACTGGGTACCTGGTAAATTCTTTAATATTATCGATGTAATTAGTAATTACTCACGTATTTTACGTACAGTAACACAGTACTTTTATTATATATGGAACACAACGTGTAAATTATAAATCATCTTTTACTTATATGTAATCAAAAAGTATTTTACATCGCAACTCTCACTTTACCTTGACAATTGTATCCGCGTTAAAAATATTAAAAGTTGGAACTTACAGCTTGCTTCCTTAAATAAAAATACTGCCACCAAGGAACACAGAAATAGAGTTTGGTAATTCATTTTTTTACTTTATATATGAAACTTTTATTTACAACACACTTTTAAAACTTTTCATTTTGAAGGTACGTAACAAGTTTCAAAACTTGGCACTTTGACAGATTCCTGAATCACATTCACAATCACTACGATAGACCATAGATTACACGACGTAACATTCTGACAGACTAACTATCATTTTGATAAGATTGTAACAATACCGTTATACTATTGTTAAATAATTACATTTAATTACTAAAGAACATTAGTAATAACCGCAGTAATTATTTACTCTTATGACGTTGAAACCAGGTTGAAAGTTGATATGCGCATATTTATTGCGTGAATGTAAATACACGTACCCTTTATTTTTGCGTTTTTTAACAAATTAAACTTAGATACAGAGGATCAGCAAAGTAGTTTCTTTGATGCCAAGCAACACAAATACCGGCGCAATAACATGTTATTGTTAGAGATAACACAAATCCAAGATAAATAGAATATCTAAAAAATTCTGAAAGAATTTCCCGAAAATTAGTATTCAGATATTTGTGAACATGTTACCAATCAAACGCACACTCACCTTGATTCAGTAATTTAGATTTTGATACAACTTTCACGCAATATGATTGGTACGGTTTGCCATCTACGTAGCAAGTGTAAATACCTTCTTCTTCTTTCGTAGCTTGTAATATGTAAAGGGAATTATATGCGTCAATAGTCAAATGGGGTTCTTTTTCAGTCTCTGCCATGTTATTTCTATAATTGACAAAAACAATTAAAACACACATTACCAAAGATGTTCCAATTATTCTTGCATAAATAAATACTATGCAGAAATTATGTATGTACTTACATATGTCCAATGTAGCTAATCTAAACGTACCTAAATGAAGAATTTAGCTTTTCATTATTTTTATACCATTCAACTTTGGATTCCATTGTTACTTCGGGACAGTTAAGAGTTAGATGACCGTTTTCGCCTACTATTTTTTTAATTTTGCTTTTAATTAATTCTCCCCGAGGTTTATTTTCTTTATCTTAAAAATTCATAAAAATATTATGAAGCTTAAAATTATGAATATTAAATGGTGTGTAAGAGACCGTTAGTAACGATGTTCACAATTGTAAGGTAACATTTACAAAACTTACCATTTGCAATTACTGTTTCGTTCATATTAGAAGCATATTGTTCATTTAACCCTTCAACCAGATTAATCAAGTTAAACTTTGCCTCAAACTCACCGTTTAAAATATTTCTCTAGAAATAAAAATAGCACTTTAAACATGTTTTTGTTATGATTTTTTTTATAACATAAGGTGGCAAACGAGCAAGCGGCCACCTGAATCCGCCAAAATGGCGAAGCGACCGCTACCTATAGTCATCCGCA